CATGACGTTGCTCGCTGGCTGGCCTTTCAAGCGCGAGGGACATGCTTGAAGGCAGGAGCGGGGAAGCCGCTTACGGACTCGCAAATGGCAACAAAGGCAATGTCGTGCGTCTGGTGGAGGTTTGGCTTACGTTGGAGGGTTGTCGTGGAATGCGCAGTTGGTGAACTGGACAGTGCGATGAGGTGGGATGTCGAGTCGAGGTCGAGAATGCTACTATCTCCGGATACAGTAGGTAGCGCTAGGTTGCTCCGTCAAGCCGAGGGCGGTAGTTCGCGGATGCCTGCTTGCTGAAGACGCGATGTGCGGTATGAGAGGTTGCAGTAGTGGCAAGGAAGGCAGACAGGCACGTGGTACTAAACGAAGTGAATGCTTCTTGGCGGGCAAAAGGGCGAGGGCAGTCTAGTCGTCTACTCTAGTCGTGGCGGAGCAGAGCAGTTGGCCAGAAGATTAGGTACCTGAGGGCATGCAATCGAGGTGGGGTTATTAGTCGATCGATGCCTGCACTGCACGGTCTGGCCTTGGTGCGTGACATCATCTCTGGTGCTGAAGGGCATACATGTATCATATGTGTTGACATATCGATGCATGCAACACCTCATGTGCATTATCTGTGTAGTTGAAAAAATCAGAGGTTACCTGTATCTAAGGTACATGTGCCGACACGCGCTGTGGTTCTGTTCTGTAGCAGGATGTTGGTGGGAGAATGGATGCTTCTCAGCGGGCTCGACATCACGATCACGTGCCAGCGTAGCCAATGTCGGATAGACGAATGTATGCTGGTCTCGATATGGGTATACAGAACGCACGCTCATGCCTCATGAATGTCATCTCATCTTCGTAAACTGTCGAGACGTGCTTGGAGATCATCGTCGCCAGCATCGGCGGCGCCGCCACCACCACCAACAGCTTGCGCGACCTTGCCCTCTTGTACTTTCTGGCTCTGCAGGCCTTGAGGTGTCTCGCCGAGCTGCATTATTTCGTTAGCCAGGTATATATCCAATCCGCAAAGAAAAGCAAAGGCTTACCGATTGCCCCAGATCCACTCCGATCTCATCGAGCACCTGGTTGACAACTTCCTCCCCTTCCTCCTCATCTTCCAATCCAGTCACGTCGTCGATCGCATCATCCATCATCTCCTGCCTCTGGTCCATGATGTCGTTCTCCTTCTCAAACTCCATTGCAATGCGCTGCAGGGCGGGCAGGTTCATCTGTTTGTTCATGCTTCCCAGGAGCTTTGTCGCACCCTTCATGCTCTGCATCATTTGCTCATTGCTCCGTACAGTTTGGATGCGCAAGCTGATTGCCTGCAGTTGTGTACGCATCTGATAGAACTTCTGAATGTAGCGTCGTGTGCGGACCAGATCCTTCGCTTGCACCTTGACCGCACCCATCTGACCATTCTTTGCGTTCTTCTTGATCTCCTGTACGAGCTTCTTTTCCTGGTTCTCCAGCTTGGTCCTCTCGCGATCGAGCTCACGCTGTGTCTTCTCGAGTGCCCGTTGATGCTTGCGCAGACGCTCAGCAGGCGTCATGCGCTTTCCAAAGGCCCATTCTACAATCTGCGTTCGTTAGTGTCCAAATCTTACATTA